ATAAAAACAAAATAAACCAAAATTGAAAGTAAGAAAACAAAGATAAAAAATCTTTTGACAAACTTACATTGTTTCAGGTCTTAATGTAGCAGCAACTAAATATATATTTTTATTTTCTAACTCTTTTACAGAACCTAAAATATTTTGTGCCTCATTACTCCATTCTATAACTTGAAGTTTGATTCCAGTATATTCTTGAGGACCAACACCTTCACCACTTTGTCGATCGTGATCCATGCAAGGTTGACCATCAAATGGTGAGTATATAGTATATCGTTCACCAAATTTCACCTTATTAAGTTCTTTTAATTTTCTCATTTGCCATTGAACAAAAGAATCATAATAAGGATTTGCATCAGTAGTGATAAAAGATCTACGCCAGTCAATTTTAGTGCCAACGGCTTTGCAATCATTCTAAGTAATAATAAATAATCATTAATAAAATAAATAAAATAAAATAAAAAATAGAAATAAAATAAGAAATAGTAATTTTTTTTTTAAAAAAAAAATCTTAATACTAACAATGGCTCTTGGTGGGAAATAATAAAGCCAATGACTTGAATCAGCGAATTTCGCAATTTCATTATTAGCAATACCCATTTCTCGCATTATTTGAAATTGATATTTCAGATCCGTCGATTTTGCAGCAATTTTACCCTTTTTGCTAACCACTTTAGTAGTATCAGAAAGATCCTGAGATTTAATAGCAGTATCATCACTCAATTCTAAGTCTTTAACACCTTTTCCTAGATCAATTTGATCTGGTATTTTAAAATCTGGTCCAAATTGTTCGATTTCACGCGATAATTTATCTGCACAAGCCTATATATCGATGAATTGTGGGAGTATTAACCGAGAAAATTCGTTACTCTATCAAAACCAATAAAATAGTAATACATATAAAATGATACCTTAATTGGCATACCAGTACAATGAAAACCTAAAGGAAATAAGGCTCTCTTTCCTTTCATTCGTTCATAACCAGTAGCAAATTCGACTTTTGTAATTGTAAAAAGATGTCCCAAATGTAATTTCCCATTCATGTAAGGATATGGGAAAGTTCCCATATGTTTTGGATACTTTACATGTAATATAGAGTCATCAGGTTCTTCCTCGAGAGTAGGAGCATTAACCTCAAACACATGTTCAATTTCCCATAGTTGTTGAACCTTTTGTTCTATGGCTCGTAAGGTATCGCGCTTAACAGTCTATTTGGATAATCAAATAAACATAAATTGTGATACTTTTAAAAAATTTATCGAAAAAATAAAAAATTTTATTATACTTTTTTTGGTTCTTCCAAGACTTTTGTTATGACAGTCGCCATTATAATAATAAAAAATTTATTATGTACCTACCTTATATAAGAAAAATCACCGTTTTTTATGATAAATGATAATCATTTTTCGATATACGATTGTGAGTCATTCTGCTGCGGTCTTGATCTTTTTTAATATCTGATATGTAACGACAAATAATAAATTCATATCGATATCGATATCGATATTCTAATCACTAATATGAATCATGATATGGCAAGTGCATTAAAGATATTTTTACAAATTGAGTAGGGATGTTATCCTGCTTGCCCAAACTCGGTTCGACCTCTGTTTGGGCCCAAACACAATGGAACTCGAGTTTTTGC